GATGAGCTGCGGGGGACCCCCTGTTCCCGAGCAGCTGCGGGGTGCCCCCGCGGTGCTCTTCCCGGCGCCGTGGGATCCGTCACCCGTAAAGGGTGATTTTATTTTTGTCCATGGGGAAATAAAAGCCGAAAGAGAGCACGTGGGAGCCCCTGAGGGTACACAGCGGGTTGGGGTGCTCAGCTCTGCTGGGGTGCACCCTCCGCGTGCGTCCCCCCGTTCGAGGGGCCACAGGGTCTGCCCTGACGGGGCGGGGTGCCCACGGGCACCTCTCTGCGCCTGAACGCTGGGAGACCAGCCCTGCCTGCAGCCTGCTCCTGCCTCTCGTGCTTTATTTAAACAAAATTAAAATACAGGCAGGTTTAAAATACCTTTGTGACGGCTTGCTGCTGCAAATATTTTTCTACCCTCCGTGCATCTGCAAACTGGCACCAAGCACCTGTGGTTCCCCCGGAGCAAAGCCGCAGCGGGCGCCCGTGCCGGGGGTCCCTTACCTGGGGCTCTGGGTGCTGCGGCTCCCCACGGACTGCATCGAGAGGCTCCCGGCCACGCTGGTGCCCCCCGGGGAAGACCAGCCCACGGACGATCCCGGCCAGGACTTGACGCTCTCTGCAGGCTCGAGGCTGAGCGTGGAGCCGACGCTGGAGCAGGTGTCCCTGTGGGGAGAGGTCAGACCCCATCAGCTCTGCAAGCGCAGGCAGGAGGGCGGGTGGCACCAGGGACGCGTGCGAGGGCGAGGCCGGGCACAGAGCGGAGGCTCCTGCACAGCCCCAGCAACGGCGTTTTTGTGGCACTGGCACAGGTCGGATGAACCAAAACAAACCTTTCCAGGCAACCTGGTCCTTGTGCCATTGCTGCTGCCATTAACTCTTCCCCTCATGGTTTTAGAGGTGCCCTGCAGCCTGTGGGCAGCGGGCAGGAAAACCCCACTGCTGCCTGCAGTGCCCAGGAGCAGCTGCAGTGACAGAGGCAGTGTGACCCCGGGTACCCCAATGTGTCCTACGCACCCCTGGGCTCCCCCATGGCCGGAGCTACCCCTGCCCACCCGCCAGCATCCCTAACACCAGCTGTAGCAGATGAAATCCTTTAGGATCTGAGTTTTCCGTCAAAGCCACGGATCAACTTCGTCATCTCAAGGTGAGAGCATCCCGCGGGTTTAACAGAGCCCGAAGGGAAATCGAGCGGGCGGGAGGGCACGGGGGCAAGCAGCGGGCGGCTGGTGGTCCGTCACCCATCGCGCAACCCCGGCGCAGGCTGCGAGGGGCGAGAAGAGGGGCTCGGTCAGGCGCGGCGCCGCCGGTGGCTCCCAGCGGCCTCCCCGTGGCCACCGTGCCAGCCTGGCGGGACGGCAAACCGCATCGCAGAGCATCTCTGGCGAAGGGCAGGGAGCAAAACAGAGCGCTTCTCCTGCCGGGAAACACTTCTCACCTCCCCTAAAGCGTCAATCGTATTGGAAATCACTTTTGTTTTACGAAGGAGAGAATTTCTGAGCTCCCGGTTTCCATCTCACCTTTGCCTGGTTTAATCACTGCATAAAGAAAATCTCTTCTCACGGCACAGTGACAAGCACATCTCTGCTTTTTTTTTTTTTTAAATACATTTATCCATTTTGTCTCCATTTGTCACGATGCCCCTTTAGCAGTGTAGCAGAGGGGAAAATTGAAGAGCTGTAGAAGTAACACCTGAAAAATTCACTGGAATTTTTTTTTTCCTAGTAACCAGCCCGCCCTGCTGCACCGGTCCCTGGGGCTGCCCAGCTCCCGGGGGGGATCGAAGGGCCGGATTTTCCGGCAGCACGACACGCTGCCAGGGCCGGAGCTCGCCCCGCGAAGGGGGCTATTGCCATCCTTTTTGCTTACGTTAAGCTGGGCCATGCAGAATGATTCTAAAAGTGATGATTTTTTCATTAAACCTTTCATTAATATGAAGTTCCTTGTGCATAAACATGGGCTGCTGCAGCGAAAATGCGCGAGGACGGAGCCGTGCGGCCGCAGCCACCCTGGCATCGCCCTTGTGCAGCGCAGTGTCCTTCCCCACCCCAAAGCGTCTGAGCCTGCCCCCCTGCAGCTCCCGCAGCCCCCCCAGCCCCTCGCCTCACCTCTCGGCATCGCTCTCGTCGCTGGACCGCAGCTCTTCCAGGGCCACCTGCAGATCGGCAATGCGCCGGATGGAGGTGCCCAGGTCAGCCTGCAGGACCTGCCGCACCGCCGCCAGCTCCGCCAGCTGCTGCTCCTGCGAGGAC